AACTCGACTTAACTCAAAAATAGTGAGTTTGTCAAATCTGAGGGAAAAAAGCTAGAAGAGCTGAGGGGAAAAGAGAGAATGACGAGTTGTTTTTCCTTATTAGAATTGTGAGATATAATCTCGGAATTGCGAGAATAAAGTCAGAATTTTGAAATATAAAATCAAATTGACCTTTTTTAAATTCTTTTATTCCATGGCTCCATAGACTGCCACTTGAAACCCGTCATTCTCTGCCTCCAAATAGGCTCCGCCCACAAAAACCTTCATCCCTGTTTCGGATCTGTAAGACTATCCCACGCTCTAACGTCAATTTCGTTGAATAACAGTGCTTATCGCTGGGTGACAAGCTCTTGTAATATGCTGAGAACATTTTGAAAATGACATCTAATCAATATTACTTATAATCTTTTTAAACCTAACTATTTTGTACCCTATCCGTGAAATTCTCTAGCCCTAAAGGCTATCTCTCCCGGGGTTTCTGCAACCATGATGCGCGCGCATCCTGAATGTTTACAAACCTATCTATTGGCAGAGAGTCACCATCTTGTTTTCTGATAGGCTAAGACGTGCGCCGTGGTCAGATTGATTGATTGATTAATTTCTGTTTAGAAGCCAACAGCTGTAGAATGTTTTGTGAATTTATTTAATTTTATATTTTTCTTTTGTTGTTGTTATACAAGTATCTTCAAAGTCATTATATGTTTATTTTATTATCTTAATTTTATATCAATTAAAAAAAAACCGTAACAGTCAGGTAAGGTCGTTAGAGGACATTTCATTACGATACGCTTGAAAATATTTTCTATTTTCAAGTATATGAAAACATACTTTCTCTCAGGAAATTATTATAAATAGTGCGATGTTTCAAATTAATTTGTTGAATTAATAAAGCTTTACCGTTTGGGAACTCGTGGATATCAAGTAGCCTGATCGAGACGGTTCTCAACATAGACATGCATGTTTCTCAACGGCTCTGATTCTGATCTAAACTACGCGTCTCCTTGTCAACCGACGCTCCTTTGGCGGAGGCCGCTGCTGCTGCTCTGCGACCGCGGTTCTTCTGTCACTGCTGTAGAGGTGAAATCGACCCCAAGCTGCCTGTAAGTACACAGCAACACTTAGTTAATGAAAACCCATGCGTTTTGTGTGCTTGCCCCGTGACTTAATTTTTCCTTCTCACAGTGATAACTTGCAGTAGAAGCACTAACGTTAACTTACAGTATTCTATCATTCATATACATGTAGCGTTTGTATGAGTTCACGATCTTCACGCGCATTGGTGTAGGACTATGGGAATGTGGTTCACGTAACTAAACGTTTTAAAGAGTGTGTGATGAATGCCATGGTTGCGAGGAATTCGGTATCCAAGTTTATGAGTTAATGCCAAATTTAGCACAGCCTCGACCGTCTGCAACCCTGTTGAAGTAGAAACACACATGCCACTGATTGGCAGGTGTGCAGGTCCTGGACAGGTTGTCTGACATAAAAGGGGATGCTTGCAGGTCATTTAAAGGGGTCCTATTATGCTCTTTTACAAAGTCTTGATAATGTTTTGGGGGTGTACTAGAACATGCTCTCATGCTTGGTGGTTCAAAAAACACATTATTTTTCACATAATTTACATTATTAAAATACCTTTCTCCCCAGTCTGGCACAAACGGCTCGATTAGTTCTGGCTTTGATGAAGGTCCGCCTTCCGAAAAACAAAATGTGTTGTGATTGGTTAGCTGTCCCAGTGCGTTGTGATTGGCGAACAGCTTAGACGGTGTTTCAGTACTGCCCCGCCCCTTGCTCCGTCTTTCAACAAAAGCTTTTGGGCAAATCTGGCACTGTACTCCCTTGTGTTGTGGAAGCTGTCCTCAGTAAAATGCACAGGACACAATAGCAAATTGGGGTTATAATGCTCAGCAACAGAGTTAAAAAATGAATTGCAACCACTGTTTCCTGACATCATCTGCTTTCGGAAGCCCAAACAAAGACGTTTGGGCACGGAGGTGAAAAAAACTGCGTTTCAGGCAGTCGCGCACCGGACGAGAAGCGCAGCGTCGCGTCACGCCACGCCACGCGGTTTTCTTCTTGGTTTTCTCTGATGCACTAACTCTGCAGCAGCACTTCTTCTTGCTTTTCTTCTTGGTTTTCTCTGATGCACTAACTCTGCAGCAGCTCTTCTTCTTGGTTTTCTCTGATGGACTAACTCTGCAGCAGCTCTTCTTCTTCGCTGTAGTCCAAACGAGCCGTTCGTTGTAGTTCTTGAAAAGAGATTTAAAAAAAACGAAATATCTCCCTTTGGAGTGGACTTTGAGATTTGTAACTTTCTAGATCTTTTTTATGCCCAAACATACACACTACACACTGACTAAAATTAAAAAAGTGAAAAAGCATAATAGGACCCCTTTAATGTGACTATTGATGAGGATTGTATGGTCTTTGAATAATATCGGTCTTTAAATGCAGAATATACTTCAGTATATATTTAGTTGGACTTCAGCACTACTTCCACACAATTAAAGTGCATTAAGTACAAAATTAGTTGTTCCAATTTAGCAGACTTGAAGTATACCAAAAGTACAATTGCAGGGTATTTTTATTAAGTATACAGAAAGATATACATGTATTTGTAGTACACTTAGCATGAAATAAATTTCAAATACATTATAGCATTTATTTTTTCACTAGGGCAAACACATAAGCCCATATTTAAAAAAAAAAACTTGAGTCAACATCAGAACTTAGATGCAGTTGGTTAGATCTGATATTACAGATAAACATTTTTATGACAGATAAACATTGTAATAATGTGCGTTTGAACAGGAATATGTTTGTCCCAGATGTAAATCTGGCTTCATTGAGTCCGAGAACTCAAAGTAAGTTTTGCTTTTATGTCAGTAACTAATGATCAAGACTGAAATGTTTTTTTTTTCAAATACTGTAATTCCATACACCTCTGTTTACTCAACTTAGACAATATATATCCTTTGTAATTATGATGTTTGTCATTTACAATGCGTAAAACGTGTTTCATTAGTCTTCTTCAGAGTCGAGATGGTGCTGCTGCTGTAGGCGGTGATGACATGGCTATATTGTTTTTCACACAGCCTGCCTATAACTGATCATTTGAGCAACATATATACATATATATATATATATATATATATATATATATTACACCTTCTGTGGCTTACCCTCTTTGTGGAGGGTGTCAATGATTGTCTTCTGGACCATTGCCAAGTCAGCAGTTTTCCCCTTTATTGTGGTTTGAAAGCACCTTTTCCTGCAAATTTTCTTCCTTCCAGTCAATTTTGCATTTAATATGCTTTGATACAGCACTCTGTTAACAGACACCCCTTTCAGTAATGACCTTTTGTGACTTACCCTCTTTGTGGAGGGTGTCAATGATTGTCTTCTGGACCATTGCCAAGTCAGCAGTTTTCCCCTTTATTGTGGTTTGAAAGAACAAGAGATACCCGGGATTTATACTGTAGGGATTATCATTTAATGAAACTCAAATGTAAATATTCTAATATTTTGAGATACTGGATTTTTGACTTTCATGAGCTAAAAGCTCTAATCATCAAAATTAAAATGAAAAAACTTTTGAAATGTTGTACTTTACATGTAATGAATCTAGAATATATGAAAGTTTAACTTTTTGAAATTTTACTTTTTCACGATATTCTAATTTTTTTAGATGCACCTGTATATCATTAACTAAAACTATGAAAACAATTTTTAGAAAATGTTTTTTGAATTTTTGGGGGGGAAAATGTAGCCTTGCCAAAGCAATAAAAGCAATAACATTAATTAATAAAAAGTGGAAATACATTTTTAAAGTAAAAACTAAAATAAAAATTAATTAAATCGAAATAGTAATATTTTATAAAACTAAAATTAATCAAAATGACAGGAGCACATAACAGACTTACAAAAAACCTTACATTTAAATGAAAATAAAATCTAATTAAAAATATTTAAAAAAATCTATAATATGCTAAAATAACTCTAATAGTATTTAAGCCTTTCTACTTTAAAATGTGTTATTATTTGTAATTACAATATATATACAGTATATAAAAGGAAACGATTCCTTAAGGGGGGGTCAGTCATGGTTTTGTTTCTCTATGAGCCTTTTGTCTTTTCCTTTGCTGATTTTACAGCGAACCTTTTAAAATAAACAGTGTAACTTTTGTTTGGTTGACTGCATTTTAGTTTGATGATGAATGGCTGAAATGTCAGGTAACGGTAGAACTAATGTTGTGCACCTGTGGATTTAAACAAATAAAGATATGAAGAAAAGAAAGAAAATGCATTAAGAGTGTCACAAAACCGAGCGTAGCCTATATTTTTTTGCACAGTGTTTTTTCCCCCTTTTGTTAATCTGTTAATTATATTATAGCCTATTATATATTTTGTGTGATCCTATTTATTTTATTCCTTTTATAGACTTAGTTTCTGTTTTTCTCCTTTCACAGAAGCGCTGCAGGTGCATGATGCGTCTTGTTTTTATCTTTTTTACTTTGTATTGGGATTTGACTTGACTAATTTGACTAATTAAAAATTTAGGACAGTATCCTGCTAACAAAAAACAAAAAAATAATAAAAATAATCAGTCTTGACTATTTTAAGCACCTTGAAAATATGATGAGAAAGGAGACTAAAATATTCCTCAAAATGTTTTAATTGAATCAGCCAGGGAATCCACACATTTTAATCAATGAATTGTCTAACATTTTAAAAATAATTCTTCATTACGGATTACTTTTACACATACAAATGCTTCTAATAAAACAAAGTTTTAAGATTTGAATTTTTCCCCTTGAGGAAGACCACCTCTTGTCTCATAAGCGTTAGCTATTAGTTAGTAACTTTTACCTAGTAATGTATCTGGTCCAAAAGATGGATCATCTTTTACACAAATCATATTAAACAGCAAAACTGTTTTTGACATTGATAAGAAGAAGAAATAGATTCTGTGACTCTAAAGACTGGAGTAATGGCTGCTGAAAATTCAGCTTTACCATCACAGGAATAAATTACATTTTAAAATATATACAAAAATAGACAACAGTTCATTTAAATAGAAATGATATTTGTGTGTTTTGTGGTTTACTGTCATTCTTTTAGGTACAATGGGCCTCATTTATCAATCTAACTCACAAATCAATTTACGACAGAGTCCACGTGTGATTCATGAAACATTCGTATGCCGCCAATGCAATGATCGTGCAAAGCGCTGCAGGTGCATGATGCGACGATTGAATCCTCATGGTCTTGTTTACGCTTCTATTCGCACATATAAAGCTAAAAACAAAAAAGACATTCTAATCTTACTGGTTAACGATCGACTAATGAGCTTCGTTTGACGGTCGGTAAAATTAAAATGAACAAAATGCTGTCATTCTACAATTCTCCACCATATTTACTATGCTGCGTGCAAGTTAAGGTAACTCAAAAACTTGCGTACACGAGCTGAGACCAGATGTGAGATTTGATCGCAGCCACCGCTCACGTCCATATTAATAAATTCCAAGTTTTGCATTGAAACGACCGTACGCCCAATTTTCTGTCGTATGTTCGTTTAGTAAATGAGGCCCAATATGTTCCATAAATAACATTCCTTTTAAAGGGATACTCCACTCCAAAATGAAAATGTCTTCGTGTATTTACGCTTTGATTTGAACGAAAACAGCGCATCCGTGTGGCGCGGCCGACACAGAAGAGCGTACGCTGCTTGCGTTCAGTGGATATTCTCCAAAATGGCACTACGGTGATTTACGCTTGCGTTTATTTTTGTTTTCTTTGCGTACAAAAAGTATTCTTGTCGCTTCATAACGTTACGGTTGAACCACTGATGGCAGATGGACTATTCTGACGATGCTTTTCATACTTTTCTGGACCTCGACAGTGTAATTTACTTGGCAGTTTTTCGGACAGTCACAAGCCTCCCGGTTTTCATCCAAAATATCTTAAATTGTGTTCCGAAGACGAACGAAGATTTTACGGGTTTGGAACGACATGGGGTAAGTGATTAATGACAATATTTTCATTTTGGGGTGGAGTATCCCTTTAATCAATCAATCAAACACATTTTGGGTTTGGCTGGGCTTAAACAATATTCATATCAACCCATCACCTAAATATATTCAATGTGCCCTTTTGTCCTACAAACACATTCATTTGCATATGTCAAGACAATACCTATAAATCCATTCAATGATTTATCAATAACCTGTTCCTCCGGTCTAGCATGCTGCACTCGAACCTTGAAGATTATTCTTGGAGACAAGGAGGTCTAGATGTGGTCATCACACAGGTGAGTCACACTGACATCAGTGAAAATCTGATGATATGACTCATGTCCTCAACCTTTTTGCCTCATTGGTCTTCACAGCATTTTGCCTGTAGGCACTTAAATTTGTCCCCAGGCTCGAGTCAAGCACATAATAGAATTTTCTTGCTGAAATTAAAGAAGCATTAGAAATGTCCTGCTCATCAACCGCTGCAGATTTTTTTTTCTCTTCCAGTTGCTTGGTCAGTCTGAAAATACCGGCCCCCCTCCTGCTGAGAAGGAGATGATCTCATCTCTCCCCACCGTTAGCATCTCCTCAGAACAGGCTGGTAAATTCCCATAATCCTCTGAGTCACCATGCACACTTCATTTTAAGTGCTATAAAGCAAAACAGGGCTGTTCACATATTTCTGGTCACCTCCAGGAAGCATTTTTCTTGCTTTCCTGGCAGACTATTGTATTGAGTATGGAGAGGGTGAGCTGGAAAGTGTTAAAACATGATGAATATGTACGATTCTGACAGCAGTGCATTGTGTAGAAGCCATATTTATATCAAATGTTTCCAGAGACTCACATTTTTCCACTCGTGTTATTTATTGCTGAGCTACAAATCGTTCGTTCATTCAGTTGCAAGTTTTTTTTAAAGCGACAGTCACCCAAAAATGAAAATTCTATCATTTACTCAACCTCATGTTGTTCCAAACCTGTATGACTTTTTTTGTTCTGTGGAGCATAAATGAAGATATTCTAAAGAATGTTGATAACCGAACAGTTTCAGTTCCCATTGACTTCTATTATATGAAATTACAACAGAACTCAACGGGAGTCGAAACGGTTTGCCAACTAACATTCTTTAAAGTATCTTCTTTTGTGTTCAGCAGAATGAAGAAAGTTATACAAGTTGCAACAACATTAGATTAAGTAAATGATGACAGAATTTTGATATTTGGGTGGTCTGTCCCTTTAAGAAATTTGTAACTGAATGAACAAACTGATTTGTAGCTCATCACTCATCACTTGAGGGGGAAATATGAATCTATGGTCATTTTTTATATGAATATGGCATACACAATGCACTGCTTTTAAAATCACACAGATTTTTGGGTGGACTATGCCTTTAATTTTCAGGGTTCTGTTTGACAGTACAAGCAGCACTTAACAATTGCTCTCTCCATTTTTCATGTGCACATTTTTTTTTTCTACGTCTCTCTTTCTCACAGCATGCCGGCTGGAATGCCCTGTGTGTAGAGAGGAGTACTCTGAAGGGGAATCTGTCCGACAGCTGCCCTGTCTGCACTACTTTCACAGCAACTGTATTGTACCCTGGCTACAACTGGTGTGAGTCTCATAAAATGTAGCACTGGATCTTTTGTCATCAGACCCATGTTTTTAAAAGAATAAGGCTTAATTTAGTAAATAGTGGTAGCCCGGCCATTTATAATAGTTGGTTATACCGTATTTAACTCACAAGCAAAATGTTTGGAAGGACCTCTAGTGGACAGAGGACAAACAGCCTTACTCTATGGACTAATTAAAGCCCATAGAGCTGGTCAGTTGTGACGTCAATTTGTAGACCAACCCAAAGACCAGTTCACCCTCGGGAATTTCCAGTGGGTTTTGAAAATGCCAGGTTTCGATTTATGATCACAATAAACGTTGTGGTTAACGTTACTTGAACAGACTTTACCGTCTTCTGTCTACAACACTGCACACAGTCATACTGCAAACATGAATTTGAGGTGGCAGGTTTGAAATGTGTTTAGATGTTAATGATATTTGAAAACCATGTGTCATGTAAAACTAAATTACGTGCTAAAATAACCTACACTAGCATTCAGAAGTTTGGGGTCGGTAAGATTTTTTTAATGCTTTTGAAAAAAAATGTCAGTTGATCACCAAGGCTGCACTTATTTGATCAAAAAAATAAATAAACAGGAATATTGTGAAATAGGCCTATTATTACAATCTAAAATAACTGTTTTCTATTTGAATGTATTTTAAAATGTAATGTATTCCTGTGATGGCAAAGCTGCACCATTACTCCAGGCTTATCACATGATCCTTCTGATTTGGTGCTCAAGAAACATGTATTATTATTATCAATGTTAAAAACAGTTGTGCTGCTTAATATTTTTGTCTTTTCGGGATTCTTTGATGAACAGAAAATTAAAAAGGACATTTATCTGAAATTCAGTTAGTTTGGTAACATTATAAATGTCTTTACAGTCATTTTTGATCAATTTAATGTGTTCTTGGCTGAATAAAAGTATTACTTTCTTTAAAAAAATCATAGATACCCAAACATTTTGAATAGTAGTGTACATGAAGAAATAAGACAATTACTAGTCTGTCCTCATTTGTACTGTTTTATGTTAATAGCACGACACCTGCCCTGTCTGCCGGGAAAGTCTGGATGGTGAAGACCGGGGTTTCCAGTCACAGACAGGACCTCCAGGGGCAATTCCCTCACGACGAATGTAGAGGAACGTAGCACATTTGAGACTCTTTAGCCTCCTTTTCCTTCCTTTATTATGCTGATCAATCAGGACAGAGAGAAGCACCACAGCCCTGTGCATCAGTGCTTCACAGAGCCCCGAAAAAGAGTGCCTTCTATTTCAAAACGCATTTTAATTGAGGCTATTTCAGTCCGTATCGGTCTGATTAGCAGTTATATCTGTTATGTGTTTTTGCAATGTACAGTTGTGCCCAAAATCCTACCACTGATGTTTACAGTCCAACCTGAACTTACATATTTCAACTAACACAGCACACATGTGATGCGTTAAATCAATTTTAAAAATTCCAGTTTGGAACGAACAAACAGTCTCTTAGGCGGGCCGCAGGACTGGAGCTCACGAGTAATGAGATAGATGATACAGATGTCTCAGGGGATGCAGTTCAAGTTGCATATGCATATTTAATGGCACGGCACACGTTTACCCTATAGCTTCTTCAGAGCTCCTGTTTTAATACCTCACAATGAAGTAAGCGCACAGTTCACTTTCCCTTACCTGTCAATGGATGACCTCTGCTCCGCACATGCCGTCACTCTTAGGAAGGTATCATAGAAATGCAAAGATTTAGATACCTACTCAAGCTTTGCACTGTGAAAATTTTCGTCTGTTGTACTGTACATGTTTTGGGTTGATAGTTTGCACTGGTGTTTTCTGTTTGACATTGCTATTTTGTGGGTTCTTGTGGATAGATAGAAAAAGAATGGTATTTATTGTATTCACAAGTTATGAAGCTGTTAGATCTCTTCTTGATGATCCTCTTGGTGCTAATCCTCAGGGTTCCTTGACTGCTACATATTTTAATATTGAGACAGTCCCACTCATGATTTCTCTTTGCAATATGGCCTTTGAACATTTTGAGTGTCATTTGGAATTTTATACCACACTATCACACAGATAAAGGTAAAATGTTTACAAGGAAAAAAAGTTACATTGAATAACTAGAAAAATGCACATAACTTTACCCATAGGCCAACCTGTTACATATTGCACTCTCAGACAAATAAATAAATATTTGTTAAGACAATTTTTCAGAGTTTTAAGCATCAGAGCGTGTGAAGTATATGGGTTTTTTGATGGTAATGATGATAAAAAACAAGACAAAACTGTAATTTAGGTAAACGTTTATTTTACATATTTAATTTCAAAATGACCAAATACTTTATTTAAGCTGGGTGTGGAATTAAACAAGTTATATTATGATTTATTACTTTTTATTCAGCAAGGATGTATTCAATTGATCAAAAGTGACAGTAAAGAAATGTAGTGTTACAAAATATTTCTATTTCAAATAAATGCTGTTCTTTTGAACTTTCTATTCTTCAAAGAATCCTAGAAAAATGTATCACAGTTTCCACAAAATAATAATCACCACAATTGTTTTCAACATTGCAGAAATGTTTCTTGGACACAAAATCCGCATATTAGAATGATTCCTGAAGGATTATGTGACACTGAAGACTGGCGTAATGGCGTCTTAAAAATCTAGCTTTGCCATCCCATTTTAAATTATATTAAAACAGATGTTTAAAATTGTAATACTACTTTTACAATGTACATTGTAACCTTACCTTATAACGTAAGGTTTGCATATTGTGAGAGGTAGATTTGCATTAACTGATAACATGTCACATATTGTTTCAAATGACATCTGTCGTTACATTTTGTATGATAAGGAAGCTGCTGAATGCCCAGCTTCCTAATTAATTTCTGTCATTAATGTGCAACACGTCACTATGCCATGCAGTCAGTCTAATCTCATTTGCAGCTTAAAAACCTAACATATTAATTATGAGACAGCATCAGTTTCACTATATATTATAAACCATGAAGTTTGATTTCCACCTGTTTCACCAAGGTCATTTTTGCGTCATTAGTATAAATAAATAAGTCACGTGGCTGGCTATTAATATTTTTTTTAATGAAGCAATACCCCGGCAATAATAATACCTTGACATGTTATACTAAGACACTAGGCACTTGTGTAAATGCAGAATTGACCAGCCATTTAGATCAATGTCAAAAAATAACCATATGGATTGCGCAACTGTATTTCACCGTCCCTCCTCCTCCAAACCTGACCCAAAAGTTCAGTGGGATTTTGTGTGGACAAAGTAAAAGGTCAAATAAAAAGCAGGTTTCAATTGCCATTGCTGCTCTAATGACTGAATTCCGCCCACTTATACAGTTACACAACCCTCTCCACAGCTACAATTCCCGTGAGAGTGTCGATATTTTACTGTAGTTAAAGACTGAGACAACGACACCTCTTCAGGAGCCAAAAAATGTTATAATGGTTGCCCTTTCGCAACAGCGGCTGGTATTTTGATTCGTCTAACTGACTCTTGAATCTGTCAACTAAAAATACTCATTCAATAGCGCTTTTTTGCAGTTTAACTCGTTACGCCAGTAGGTGGCGTCAAGCGAGTACTTTGTTTTGTGAGTCATGCTCAACCATTCGTTTAAAAAAGTCGTTCACAATCACAACCGAGTCATATCATCACTTACTAATTTGTTTGTATAAATATATTAAGAGGCCGAGAGAGTATGTAGCCTATACACATTTTGTTTGTTTTCATTTCGTTCATGAACAGGTTTCCTTCAGACTTGGAACATCTAATAGTTCATCCTTCTGTTTATTGTAGCCTAAGTGCTTTAAAGTCAGGTGAATTCTGATTGGCTGTCACTTATTCTATCGTTCATCAGCTGGGGGAAAAAAAAGTGATTTGAATAATTAGTATATTTATTTTTTAATATGAATATTTCACTGTAAAACAGAAACGAGCATTTAAGAAAAACAATATAATAATTATTTTATTTTACATTATAACCAACCACAACTAACGAACTATAACTAAATAGTTTAATAACATTCTAATTCTAGGAGAATAGAGAAGTCCACACCAAACGTTGGAACTTCCGGAACGATCTAAAGAACGAGCAAATCATTTGACAGCCAATTAAAATCCACCCCGCTTTAAAAAAAATCGCGAACATTTAAAGCGGCAGACTACATAACTTCAGTCAGCGCTTATCAGTGTTGGGGAAAGTTACTTTTAAAAGTAATGCATTACAATATTGCATTACTCCCTAAAAAAAGTAACTAATTACGTTACTTAGTTACTTTTTATGGAAAGTAATGCGTTACATTACTTTTGCGTTACTTTTTAAATATAAGCAGGGCTTGATTGTTTTTAATATAAGAAGTTCTATTTATAGCAAATATAAAAGCCCTTTCACACCAAAAAGTGTAATGAATAAACCGCAGGCTGAAGCAAAAGTAAAGTCACGTCTGTACAGTAGAACGCAGGAGAAGAAACACTCTTCAACAATAAAAAAACAAAGCACAATTGTTAGTTTCTCTAAAGTCATTTTTGCTTATTAGTATGGTTGAACTGGATCATCAAAGGTCATCAGCAAAGATATTGGTTAATAAAATGGGATTAGATACATTTGTGTTATTTAACATATTTAATTATTGCAGGTTTGCATCATATTCTGAGTTTGCATTTCACTGTTTTAATTCATTTCATTCCCTTGTTTTTCTGTGAGTGGGATGAATTAATGCACATGGATATTAGGTTCACACAGTGCACACAACGCCTCTGTACTCCCGATTTCTCCCACTATGGGGACAGGAGACTTGTCAGTCAATAAATGGTAAAACAAAGTAACTGAAAAAAGTAATCCGATTACGTAACTCGCGTTACTTGTAATGAGTTACCCCCAACACTGGCGCTTATTAGATTAATACTAAATCTGTTTTTTTGTGAGTGGGATGAATTAATGCACATTCACATTTAGTCTAGAACTACAGTAACATCATGTTCACACAGTGCACACAATTCCTCTGCACTTCTGATTTCTCCCAATATGGGGACAGGAGAGCTGTCAGTCAATAAATGGGAAAACAAAGTAACTGGCATTACTTTTTTGAAAAAGTAACACAGATATTTTCTTGTAAGTTAAAAAAGCGTTACTTTACTAGTTACTCGAAAAAAGTAATCCGATTACGTAACTCGCGTTACTTGTAATGAGTTACCCCCAACACTGGCGCTTATTATAAACAGGACGTTGTCGTGCGTTGTACCTACGCTATAGTTAACGTTCTCGATGTGAACGATCCTTTATAACTGTGGTGTGGACTTCCCTCTTCCCATAGAACGGTTATTAAAACTTTACAGTTATATATCGCCCTTGATGTGAACGCGAAGGACTCGTTGCTGCTCTCCTAATGAATGGATTCTGCTCAGTGCTCACTCATACAGTTACACAACCCGCCTCACGGCTATGATTCCCACGGGAGTCTCGATATTTCTCTGTGGGTAAACACTTCAGGTTTGGGAATGAACGTGCTTTGGCAATTCAATATTAAACGTCTTATTGCTCTACATTTTCATCCGAGGAAAGCAAACAAATCATGCATTTTGTTTGAATTTGTATCCCCCGCACAAGCAGGGAGAACGTGTGTTTCCATACAAAGTTACAAAATATATCGCATTAAAACATTTGCGAATAAAGCACCATTTCCATCCAGGGAGTTGAAGAGAACAAAACCGTCCCTTCCTGATTAACTTGCACTATACATCACGAAGAAAACGCAATTTGCTGCAGCAGTAGAAGCTGTATATAATTTGTGTGTACAATACATTAGTATTTGCTTCAGAGCGCGCAGACGAAACGCGGTCATGTTGTTTTATTTTCGGAGCATGCTTTTTTGGGAACGCATTTCTTGGAGTTAATTATAACAAATCACTTTGACGAGACTTTGCGCAAGCATTTTAGAATGACAAACTAGCATTTCAGATGCTGTGCAATGAGATCGGTCAGTGCTTGGTCCAGTTTTATGCTGCCCCATCGCAAAGTCACATGACTTTTTTGATGCGCATTAAGGAATTTATTCGGTAAAAAAAAAATCGTAGTTTATGCGCATGTTTTCTTACCGGATATGAAATTTATCCTACTTGAGATTTTTAGAATTTATGCGCATCTTGGCGTTTCCACCCAGCGTTTTTTTTATGAGATCGGTCAGTGCTTGGTCCAGTTTTATGCTGCCCCATCGCAAAGTCACATGACTTTTTTGATGCGCATTAAGGAATTTATTCGGTAAAAAAAAAAATCGTAGTTTATGCGCATGTTTTCTTACCGGATATGAAATTTATCCTACTTGAGATTTTTAGAATTTATGCGCATCTTGGCGTTTCCACCCAGCGTTTTTTTTAAATATGCGATATCCCAAAATGCGTATAAAAATAGGTGGATGGAAACATAGCGAACAGCCTTCGACAACTGCCCTCGACTCCCCCCTCCCTTCTCCCCCTCCTTTCCTCCTCCCGCTCTGACTGCGAGAATGCCCTGACAGAAACGATACGGGCTTAGCAGACATGGAGGCCCGATTAACGAGAGAGGCCCATTCCGACGCGTCTGAGCTCGACTAACGCGGACCCGGAGAGAGATTCGGGCGACACATCGGATTATCACGGGTAACGAGCGCCGCATAGAAGACGAGGGAGAGGGCGAAGAATTTGAGGGAGAGATCCATTTCGGGTGCTCTGTTGATTCAACGCAGCAGCCGCCATTTTGTTGACAGTTCGTGTTTTTAATAACCCGTGCAGGGCTCATCCCGAAGAGCGGTAGATTTTTGTATTCCGCTTCTTTTGGTCCTTCCGAGGATGTTTTTATGCTATTGTTGGATTTTTATTGACGGCCTGGGCGAGAAGGGAACACTTTACTAATGTGAGCCCCACCAACAGCCGCTGCTTCGTTACGTTACATTACTAGTCGTGTGGACGGACCGCGGGGTTAGCTAGCCATTCCAACAAATGTGCTTGACAGGACAGATCATTAGAGTATGGGTTTAATGGTACGATCTACCGAGAGTGAATTCACTCGTTTGTGGGGTAGTAAACAACACAGAGACGTGAATTGAATGACAGTTGACGTTGTATACGTGGGGTTATAGCCGCGATGTTGGGCAAAGCCAACTTACCTTGCTCACAGACATCTGTCTTTCAAAATTGCAATGGCAGCAAGGTATTCTGACATCCCTTTGTAATAACAGTCTCAGTCTAATAACTTGCTATTATTGTTTCATACAGTCTAGTTTGACACACCGTTCTAATTTAAGGTTAAGCTCTTTGCTAACGAGCTATGCTAGCTAACCGTGACCAGTGCGCCTCACGTTAGATCAATATCGTTCCAGCTCATTTTTGCGGGATGACTGGATAGATACACTAGACGAATATTTTGTTGGGCCATGCATTGGTTGGAATGTTCTTCCGAGGAATGTGACCGTATTTTCCTTTTACTTTATTTTTAGGGACATCAGCGATTTCAAGATAAATATCCGAGCGACTATTCTGTACGAAGGGAGGATTTTGGTCGCAAATTATGTGAACGCCGTTCTGGACCGCTGTTAAGGTGAGCGACTTGTTAATTAATTCTGCATTTAGACCGAAAACGTGCTTTAATGCTTTAAACGAGGTGCTTGGTTTACTAAGACATCGGTCAAAACAAGTGAGGGAAATGCAGTGTTTTGTTTTGTGCTTTGTTTGTTGTCGCTAGTACGTAATGCTGTTTAGTAAAATGTTGCGGGGTTCATTCACAAGGCATTTTGGCCACTGAGTTTTACGTGTTCGTTTGATAGAAAGCTTTAGTAGCACCTGCGAGTAGATCATCCTCAGTTAACCTCGCTCACAATAGGGTTCGTTGCATGTGCAATTTGCGCGCGCGCCTTTGCGTGGTTATAGTTTTCCCGTCGATTCTTGAGAAGTGTAGAAAGTGGTGTCTGAAGCCTTTGAGCCTCCTTTGACCTCTGACACAGCTGTCAAGGAAACCAGAACTAAACTTCCCGCTGGCTGAGTGATGTTTGAGTGGATAGGCCAGATTTTTAGGCATTTAGTTTGTGGTCGGAAAGCATCCAGCCAAGACGCATTGTGTTTGAAATATGAGTGCAGATTAATAGCAGATCCCAATGCTTAGCTTGTGTTAGACCAGGGGTGCCCAGACTCGGTCCTGGAGGGCCGGTGTCCTGCAGAGTTTAGCTCCAACTTGCCTCAACACACCTGCCTTTACGTTTCTAGTATGCCTAGTAAGAGCTTGATTAGCTGGTTCAGGTGTGTTTAATTGGGGTTGGAGCTAAACTCTGCAGGACACTGGCCCTCCAGGACCGAGTCTGGGCACCCCTGTGTTTAGTGTCGTTTTGTGGTCCTTTCTGATGGCATCTGATGCCAAGTTGCGAGCTGGATGTTGTAGTAGATAAATGAATTGTTGGGAGATGTATACACTCGGCTTACAGTGGGACATTTAATAAATGAATGGCATTTTTAGGTGAGAAAATAAATTAGTTGCATTTCTTTTTTGTGACTGAGAGAACATGCACAATATTTAAATATATCGTTCAAAGTAAAGACTAAAATGATGTAGACACTACAACATGTTCATGGTTGATGTGATGAATTACACTAAAAATCACTTTGAGACCAGCTGGTTAAAAGTAATCACAAAAATGTAAAAAAAAAAAAAGTTCACTAACTAAAAAAAGATCTAGAAATCATTTTGACAACTGATGGATAGAACTTAGTGAACCATTGATAGAACCATGAACCATTTTTTTCTTATTCAATAATCACTCGGTGTACATCACAATATGGAAGAAAAGAATTGCTACTTGTGTTTCATTGCAACTTTAATATGACGCAATCTTGTAGCTTAAATGCTGGTTTTGAAGAAGCATAGACAAACTATAACTACAGTAGAGTGAAAAAAGAGTAGATGCTGTTTGTCTGCTGTAAGTCCTCTACACCATATTTTTAATAGTTTTTAGATGTAGTTTGCCAATGCTTTTTCTCCTCGTCATCTAGTTACCCTCGGGCTCACTAAATCTAAACTATAACTCAACTGTCACTGCCTCCCAATTTGTCCTGCAGTGTGTTTTGGCTGGCTGGAGGTTGTGGCTTTCAGTGCTCGTAGAAGAAACGCGGGCACGTAATTTCATAGCAGAAGAAAGACTGTCTAAATACACAGAGTTAGTATATTTTGTATCTATATATATATATATATATATATATATATATATATACCACCATCACAAGATCAAAATCAGCATCATAAAAATGTACATACTGTGTACTTAAAGCAAAAAAGAGATGACAGAGTACTACATCTAGTATGCGAAATCAAAGCTGCCATAAGATGTTCAGAAGTGCTTTGTTTATTTCACACTGTGCCAACTTCATTTACTTCACATTGTGCCAATCTAAGCTTGAGGCCCCTCAGCTGTCATATGCCCCGGGGCAATGGCCCCTATTGGCTCAGTCCGTAATCCGTCTTTGTGTAGAGCTTATTTTTTTCAATTAATCATTTTTCATAGAAAACAATTGAACAAACTGTCATAATCTTTACAACAGGCATAGAATTTCATTTGTTTTTGTTTTTTCATGCCACTTTAGAAGGAAAGCAATAGAAAATAATAGTTTTTGTATCTTCTTGGATCAAAAATGAACACATAAAAAGGCAGGAAGGCGAGGGAGAGGGGAAGAGAACTGCTTTAGCCCTTATTGATAGTCTGAGAACCCATAATGAGATGCCAACAGCTCTCAGCAAAGTTTGGAGTCATCTCCATCATTAAGGCGCCCACATGGACTTTTGACTTTAAGCATAGGTAAAATTTCCTTGAGGGAAAGAAAAGAGGGATTATGTAAGCTTTGAGGGGATTGGAGCACGTACATCCCAGTTCCTCTGCCTTGTTTCATCTTTTGATTCAGTTCATTCTTTGTAGGGTAAAGGAGGAGGTGAAAGCGCTGACTCCCGGCTGAATATACTCTTTCTCTTTCATTTGTGCTCTTCCGCTTCGTCCTTCTCCTTCATTTCACTCTTCCCTCACCCCTTCTTCCTCTCCTTCTTACAGTCTTTTATTCACACTTTCTCTCTCATTTCCAAACGCAGTGCTCTTTCACTCCTGTTTTTGTTGCTCCTGTCACCTCACAAGTTGTTTTCACTGTTTGCTCTTCTCTGCACCCCACTTTCCATCACAGTGGGGCATAACATACTGATACTGACAGGAAGACTCCAGAGTCACATCCGAGTTAGCTGGCAGCTCATTTTCCCAAGCGTATTCCAAACACACTGCTGTGTACAAATAGGCAGTGTTGACCCCACTCTGTGCCACATACAGTAAGTGTTTCACTTGTTTCCATTTCAGAAGCACTGGCGTTGTGTGCAGGTTTATAGGAAAAGCCAGCTCTAATTCCTAAATTTGATTTGAGGTAAAAAGAAAATCTATATGTATATAAAATATATAAGATTTATATTGTAAATGAATCCTAAATTCTGAATGGTGTCCAGGCCTGTACTGGTGTGCAGTAATTAATGTATTCAGCAGGAGTGCATGTTCCTCTAAAGCAGGGCTGCCCAAACTCGGTCCTGGAGGGCCGGTGTCCTGCAGAGTTTAGCTCCAACTTGCCTCAACACACCTGCCTTTACGTTTCTAGTATGCCTAGTAAGAGCTTGATTAGCTGGTTCATAATTGGGGAATTGGGGTTGGAGCTAAACTCTGCAGGACACTGGCCCTCCAGGACCGAGTCTGGGCACCCCTGTGTTTATTGTGGTCCTGAGATGTATACACTCGGCTTACAGTGGGACATTTAATAAATGAATGGCATTTTTAGGTGAGAAAATAAATTAGTTGCATTTCTTTTTTGTGACTGAGAGAACATGCACAATATTTAAATATATCGTTCAAAGTAAAGACTAAAATGATGTAGACACTACAACATGTTCATGGTTGATGTGATGAATTACACAAAAAATCACTTTGAGACCAGCTGGTTAAAAGTAATCACAAAAATGTCAAAAAAAAAAAAAAGAGAAGTTCACTTCCTAAAAAAAAGATCTAGAAATCATTTTGACAACTGATGGATAGAACTTAGTGAACCATTGATAGAACCATTTTTTTCTTATTCACTAATCACTCAGTGTACATCACAATATGGAAGAAAAGAATTGCTACTTGTGTTTCATTGCAACTTTAATATGACGCAATCTTGTAGCTTAAATGCTGGTTTTGAAGAAGCATAGACAAACTATAACTACAGTAGAGTGAAAAAAGAGTAGATGCTGTTTGTCTGCTGTAAGTCCTCTACACCATATTTTTAATAGTTTTTAGATGTAGTTTGCCAATGCTTTTTCTCCTCGTCATCTAGTTACCCTCGGGCTCACTAAATCTAAACTATAACTCAACTGTCACTGCCTCCCAATTTGTCCTGCAGTGTGTTTTGGCTGGCTGGAGGTTGTGGCTTTCAGTGCTCGTGGGCACGTAATTTCATAGCAGAAGACTGAAGACTGTCTAAATACACAGAGTTAGTATATTTTGTATCTGTGCTGCCAAAACAAGCAACCATTTTTTTCTTATTCAATAATCACTCGGTGTACATCACAATATGGAAGAAAAGAATTGCTACTTGTGTTTCATTGCAACTTTAATATGACGCAATCTTGTAGCTTAAATGCTGGTTTTGAAGAAGCATAGACAAACTATAACTACAGTAGAGTGAAAAAAGAGTAGATGCTGTTTGTCTGCTGTAAGTCCTCTACACCATATTTTTAATAGTTTTTAGATGAAGTTTGCCAATGCTTTTTCTCCTCGTCATCTAGTTACCCTCGGGCTCACTAAATCTAAACTATAACTCAACTGTCACTGCCTCCCAATTTGTCCTGCAGTGTGTTTTGGCTGGCTGGAGGTTGTGGCTTTCAGTGCTCGTAGAAGAAACGCGGGCACGTAATTTCATAGCAGAAGAAAGACTGTCTAAATACACAGAGTTAGTATATTTTGTATCTGTGCTGCCAAAACAAGCATAGATTAAAGAGTCGTGAATGACAGGTGCTGAAGAAGCGTGGATGGAGGAGGAAGCAGAAGAATCACTGACTTGAGCGTTTCCTTTTTGTTTGTTGATAAATTTACTTTGATGTTACACTAAGAAAATTTGCTTTATCTGGTCACACTTGTGTAGCGTTCGTGTTTACATATACGTAGTGTATGTAAATGAATGAAAAGTAATAGTTTACATTGTGGTAATTAATTATAGTAGCATGTAATATTTGTAACATGACCACTGTAAAATAAAATAAATTTTTTTTGTTTGTTTTGTTCCTGTAGCTCAACTGGTAGAGTATGATGCTTGCAACGCCAAGAGCATGGGTTCGATTCCCATTGCTTCAGATGCATAAATGTAAACTTAAAGGGTTGGATTGTTGCAAACGACAGCATGCTGCAATTCGTTGTCCAGCTTTCCCTCAAGACTTTTCTCTCAGCCATTTTACAATACAAGGTAGCATTTATTTTTGGCATCTTCTCCACAAAGAGAGGAGGGAAGAGAGAGTGAATAACACCGAAATGAGAAGCGGAGTACGACCCAGAGCGCTGAGGAAATAGGGGAATGATTGTCACGAAGGGAGGGATGGACCAGGGAAAAAAGACGGAGGGAGGGAGCGCTGGGGAAATGTGTTTTCGATTAGCAGGAGCACAACGACTCTAGTTTGACCGCTGTACTGTTAGATTTCCAAGTGAGTGTTAGAGGGAGACTGAATGAGTGAGAGGACGAAGAGAGAGACAGAATGGGGTGAAAGGGTAGGTCGGGCAGAGAACAAGAGAGGTGTGATTTTTTTTTTTTGGATGGCCGTGTGAAACGGGAAAGGGTGAATGGCAGAGAAAGGGTGTGTTTAAGTGAAATGGGGTGAGTAATTATAGTAAACAGTGAGAGGTCGGCGTAGAGAGAAGGAAGGCAGGACTTCAAGTTCTGGAACATGGTTTATAGTTGTGGTGATTTCACAGAAAACGACTTTCTCAATATAAAAGACCACCACTAATGAAACAACACTCCGTAAAATGGCTCTTGGAGCTTTTTCTCGTGCTGAGCACTAAATGGCCGTAACCATTCGTGTAGCATTCCAATGACCTAGTCGTTCTTAATAGACTTGTGTAATCTTTAAACCATCGCTCTCAGCGGGGCATAAAGAAACTGTCCGCTTCTGTTGCTCTACCCTCTCTTTTTCCTTTTCTTTCCTGGTCTTTCATTCACTCTGCGCTTTTCTGATTGGCAGTCATAAAAGGGCTCGGTAAGGTGACTGGATCCTCTGTCTCCCAGAGGGCCCTTTATGCTGAGGTCACTGCTCGGACTCGCCTCTCAATGATTTGACCCTCAGAAAGCACCTGTGGTCGGTGCAGTACTAAATTACTCAGTGGCCTTTTGATTTGGAGGTGTGTAAGGGGCATACGGTTACTTTTGTCAAGCCCCCAGTACTTTTTTGTGCATTCCAAAAAAATGTATGTTCTCTGTCTTTTATAATCCAGGTCAATTTATTAGAAAGACGATTGTAAAAAAAAAAAAAAAAAAAGCATTGTTAATTGTTTGTTAACTTTACTGCTATAAGAATATTGAAAGGCTGGTTCACATAAAACTAATATTGCAAAATCATTTCATGTCCTTGTGACTTATTTGTTTCTGTGGCATACAAGGTGATGTTTTGCAAAAAGGTCTTGATCATTATGGGACTGGGGCTGGACTCCAAAAAAGTAGTGCAAAAGTCTGCTTTTTGTCAAATTGTTTATGACTTTTATCTGGTAAAATGTGTTTACATGATCTTACATGTTGTTGTTTTTTTTTAAGCATTATTCTTGTAAAAGTGTGCATGTGATCATATTTGTTTATCAGAACACAAGGCAGTGTAGTTGTAAAAAAAAAAAGGCAGCAAAAGCCTTTTTCTTTCTGTCTGGCTTCTTGGTGTATAATTCAGAACAATCCATAATCAAAAGTCTCTGTATAGTTTGGATATTAGTGACTAACCTTTCTGTGTTCTTAGTTGGATCATTCAAAGTCGTATTTGTGGTGGTGATCCATGTTTGCAAAGCCATTCTGTGTTAATAATTAAATTAAAGGTTAAGACTGTCTCAGAAGTGTAGCTAATTTGTCTTTTGGTCGTAACACCCCCTCTTTTGTTTTTATCTCCTCAGTTTGAAGGTGAGAGGGCTGGGCAGGGACGACATTGCTTCAACCCAACAAGGATTTTTTCCCCATCCTTTTCTTTCCCCCCTTCCCCTTCCCCTCCATTCCACTTCCTTCTTCCTACCTGACATCTGCACAGTTCTCCAGTACCTGCCTATACCTGCGAGTGAGAACATCCTGTCCCACTCAAGCCCCCCTTGTTCCCTAAATCACCAATGGATCAGAGGACACAGGGGGGGCCCTCTACGCCGCCCCCGCTCCCTGCCAACGCCCCTCCAGCAGAAAGCGAGAAAGAGGGAGTAGGAGGAAAGAAGGACGATGAAGAGGAAAAGAAAAAGCGAGAGAAACCAAGAGATGGGGCACAAAGTGAAACTTGTGGTGCTGAAAGTGGGACTAGTGACCAGCAGCAGCAACCCACACAGTTCTCGGTCAAAGAAACCAGTTACTCTGAGGGCAATGTCAAGCTCAAGATAGGCCTACAGGCCAAGCGCATGAAGAAGCCTCCTAAGATACTGGAGAACTATGTGTGTCGTCCAGCCTTCCGAGCCACTGTAAGGCATAGTGGAGGACGAGGCGGAGGCCGTGTTAATCGTGGGGCCGGAGCCAATGATGGGAGCAGCCACACTTCTAGTCCAAGTTGTGGAAAAGAAGGAGAGAAAAGCCCCTCTGTCAGCCGAGGAGCACCTCTATCATCTAGCGCTCTTGCTGCTGCATCTCCCTCACCTTCTCTTCCCACCAGCCCAGTCACTCCTGTGAATGGAAGTTCTCCAGCAAAAAGGGTAAGGTTGTTTAACTTCTCACACAGCATTTCTTAGATGTCTAAGACATTGTAAATAAAGAAAGAGACTAGCTGAAATTACATAACATGCAGACCAACAGTGACACGATTGAAAGGTCTAGACAAACTCAAATGACCCTTTTATTACACTTTCCTTTCACTAAGCTAATGCGGTTTCATCAGATAAACAAGCTTTGCAAATCTTGCCACATTTTCTTTCTCACTCTCCTCTCTTTCGGTCACGTAAACACTTAAACTCATTTTCTTTCATTTTTTGTTTGTTCCACATTTCTCTGTATTGTAACTATGCTTTTCTGTCTGATCCAGGGCACTCTGCTGTTCAGTCTTTTTTTGTTTCTTCATCTTTCTTTGCCTTGATTTTATGCCATAATATCTTGTAATCCTATTTCTCTGTAACTCTTCCCCTCCTCTGTTTCACACACATCTTTCCTTTCTCCTCCCATCTCCCTCTAAAATCCTTCTGTTGTTTTATTGATTTGGAGGGGAAAAAACTAGTAATAATGTTCCAAAATTCAACCAATAAACAGTGGCATAAACAAAATTAGATGAGCCTATTTTGATAATAACTAGGTGAAAACAGCACAGTTTTGTCACACATTTGTCATTATTTCAATGCATTGTTATTTCTTTGTGTTCCATGATTTTTCATATTACACTGAATTAAAGGTATGTCAAATAATTTTCATTAAATATCTTGTAATCCTATTTCTCTGTAACTCTTCCCCTCCTCTGTTTCACACACATCTTTCCTTTCTCCTCCCATCTCCCTCTAAAATCCTTCTGTTGTTTTATTGATTTGGAGGGGAAAAAACTAGTAATAATGTTCCAAAATTCAACCAATAAACAGTGGCATAAACAAAATTAGATGAGCCTATTTTGATAATAACTAGGTGAAAACAGTTTTGTCACACATTTGTCATTATTTCAATGCATTGTTATTTCTTTGTGTTCCATGATTTTTCATATTACACTGAATTAAAGGTATGTCAAATAATTTTCATTGTTTTCTTCTATTTATGTGCATAGGCTCCTCCAAAACTTGCCTGTAAGTCTGAGGGAAAGGCTGATGCAAAATCTGTTGCTTCTTCAGAGAGACCCCTTAATCTTCATCGCCCCACGACAGAAAGCAAATCGCCCTCCTCTGGAAAGAAAAACCATGTTCCACAAACCAACTCTGCTCCTGCCCCATCGCCACTAACAATGCACCCAGCTGCCACATCGCAACAGGACCCCAAAACAGATGGTATCTCAACTCCTCAGTACAATTTTCCTGAGGGGCAGAAAGAACAAGAAAGGGGAATTTCTGCCTGGGGTACTCCTACAGTAACTGAGAAGCTTGCTCAGCTCATAGCTACATGCCCGCCTTCAAAGTGCCCTAAGCCAAAAACCCGGAAGGTGTCACCAGTTCCAGCACACAGTAGCTCGCCTCCCTTAATTTCTAATCTGCAGCGCCCCGAACGGGCTATGGCCAATAGGAACACCTATTCCAGGGCAATGCACCTTGCCCCACCACCACCGGTTTCAAGGCCCCCAGGTCGCCCTTATGGGTCCAAAAATAAGGACAGTATCCTGGAGCAATTTTCTGGCACCTCTAGAAAAGACGAATCAGATGGACTTTCAAAAGGGGCCACCAGTAGCAACAGCAGCACAACCACCACCACCACTAGTACTGCACTGTCTCAAAACAGTAGTCGCTTGACAACGACATCCACAAGTAATAGCACTGACAACAGTACCACCAATGGAATGAAATCTCAGTCTCGTCTTGGGCATTGCCCATCTCATTCTTCCTTCACGGCTTCTCTTTCATCACCACCATCTTCCTCTTCTTCATCCTCCTCCTTAGAAAGAATAGGAAGTACAGGCTGTCACATGGGTTTGCCAGGCTCACTAGCCTCACGGCCTAGAGCAAGCCCCTCCCAAATAGAGGAGTTTACTGAGAAAGAGAAAGAGCGTTACCGAGACAAAGACCCGGACAGTCCCAGAGATTTAAGTAAGGGCTCCACACTAGCAATGCCAGGGAAGCAAGATGCTAAAGAAAGGTGTTCTTTGTCAGCTCCTCGAAGTGAGCGGGGTAAGAGCTCAAGCCCAGTCAAACGTAGTCCCAATCAGGAAAGTCGTGTTAGTGGGGTACCAAGTCCTGCTGAGTCCACCAAATGCACTATTTCACCTTCATACCCTTCTGGTGCCAGCAGGAGCCCACCACCACTGTGCGACGACACTGGGGCTCTATCTCCTGCATCACCAACTGAGCAGGATTCAAAGCCTCTTAAGAAGCGGCGAGGACGACGGCCTCGCTGGACGAAGGCAGTGAGTCGCACCCACAAGATTTTACATGAGGCTGCTTCTAACCATCAGAAACCAATGCCATCAGGGCTTTCCTCTTCATCCCCTACTCGGCAACCTGTGGAACGGACTCCCACTGGTAATCGCATGTCCCCTGTTGATTCAGAATTTTTTGATTCTTCACCCAAGAAGAGGGGACGGCCCAAGTCCAAAATGCCTCGGTTAGATGCACCAGCACGTGGCCGCACCCCAAACAAACTGGTACCCTCTAAAGTCTACTCCAGTCTGCTCAAATCTAAAGAAGAGCAGGATCCCCCTGTTTTGCACCCTGAAGTGGACTTTAATCCACCTAAACCCATGCAAAGAAAGCGAGGGCGACCCAAGCGCTCACCACCAAACCTTCCACAAGAAACCCAGCCCCCAACACTTGCTCCTGAGTCAGGGGGTACTTCAGTAGGTGAAAAACCTTTTCGTAATAAGGGCAACGGGCAGCTTATTATGAAGACGATTATAGGCAAAATTAATAAAATGAAAACAGTAAAACGGAAGAGGCTCCTGAGCCAGATACTGTTAGGGCCGAAACCAGGGACTGAGCAGGAAAGCTCCAGAAGCAGCGGCGTGCCAGGGGCTGGGGCTGCTACAAAACCACAGTCTTTATCATCACTTGCTGCTACATTTGGGGGCAAATTAGGACCCCAGATCAACGTTAGCAAAAAGGGGACAATATATATGGGTAAAAGGAGGGGTCGTAAGCCAAAAACATCAGCTAATCCCTCCCCAGGTGCCCCCACGCCCCCTCCTGAACCTTTCTTATCACCAAACACTTCATCCCCACACCATCATCACCAGTCACAGGCCTTGCAAAACCAGCAACATCAGTTGCCTCCGTCTGAGGTGTTCCCTTCCCCATCACTCTCGCAGTCAAGTGGGGGCCAGAGTCCCATTAGTGATGCTAGTTTTGTTGAGCCTGGCTCAGTGCATTTCTCATCCCACCCACACTGCAGCCATTCCCATCAAGGCCACCACTCATTCTCCTTTCCCCCACCTACTTTTTCAGCCCCCTCTGCTCGCACTGTAGCAAGCTCCTCATCATCCACAGCAAACCCATCTCAAAAGAAATCTTGCCGGGGTTACCACCACCACTACCGGCAGCACTACCATTATCGAAAGTTTTCTCCTCCAAGGCCACTATTGCCCACGTCTCCTGCTCCTCTTAGTGAGCTGAAGGAGGCCACACCTTCCCCAGTCAGTGAATCACACAGCGAAGAGACAGTACCCAGTGACAGTGGCATTGGGACAGACAACAACAGCACCTCAGACCGTGGGGAAAAGGCTGGTTGTGCAAGTGGCTTAGCTGGTCTAGGGGTCTCACCGGGTATGGCAAGTGGACTCTTAATGCCTGGTGTCATAGGTCCAGCCATGGGAGCTGGAATGGGGCTTTCTTCGAGAGGTAGAAAGAGGCACTCATCTTCAGTTCACTTGGAACGTCCCTCACCCACACCCTCCCCACTTGGAGCGAGGGCATCACCTGATACAAGAAGACCGCACCCAGCTGCCCCATCTCCTGCTTTGGTTGGACATAAAGAGAAGCACAAGCATAAGTGCAAACGACGTGGACATGGCTGCCCTAGCTATGACAAACTAAAAAGGCAAAAGCGCAAACGCAAGAAGAAGTACCTGCAGCTGCGGTCACGTCGACAAGACCCAGACTTTTTGGCTGATTTGGATGAGATCTGTGTGCAGCTCAGTGAAATACGAATTGGTCATCGCACGCCTACACTTCGTTTAGGTAGCAGTTTGGGTCTGGGTGCTGGGGCAGCAGGCCCGGGCCGTGGGTCTGCCTTGGGAAGTGCCAGAGCCAGCAGCAGCCTTGGAGGTGGAACCAATCCACCACCACATCACTATCTACATAGAGACCTATTGCCCACAATCTTCAGGATAAATTTTAGTGGATATTATTCACCCCACCCAGCCTACCCATGTGATTCACTTCATTATGTCCGTAAGCCAGATCTTAAAAAGAAAAGAGGGCGACCACCTAAGCTCAGAGAATCTATATCAGAAGTACCTTTTGTACCTGGGCTAGGTTTTCCCCTCTCCAGCGGAGGTTTCTATCACCCTTCTTATGGTGTACCATACTCTTCTGCCCCATTGGGACTTGGCTACTATCGTGGTTATACCCCAGCAAGTGCCCTGTACCCCCACCCCCATCACCAGGCTCCCCACTCTGGCCCATCCCACCACATTCATTCCCCTTCTTTTCCTCCACCTCCGCCCCCTTCTTATGTCCATCATCATCACCCCTCTCACTTGCTTCTTAACCCCTCAAAATTTCACAAGAAGAAACATAAGCTGCTTAGGCAGGAGTATCTAGGTGGTGGTCGTTCATCAGTACTCTATCCTGCAATGTCGTCCGAGCTGTCATTTGGCTGGCACCACAAACACAAGCATAGGCACAAGCACCGTGATCGCTGTGGGGAAGAGGAGGGTGATGATGTTGGTGGAGTTGTAGGTAGCATTGGAGGCAGAAGTGGAGGAGGTGAGGGGTTGGGGGTCGGAAGAGGTGAGCGAGGGAGTGTAGAGTCCCTACAGCGTTGCAGGTTCAGCCGAGATGGCTCTGCTGACTCCAGTGCTAACAAACAGACAGCTTCTGCCAACTCCCCTTCCTCTTCCTCCTCATCTTCTGCAGAAAGGTACAAGCGAAAAGAAGCTTCTATGTCTCGTCTTGGGCCTTCGCGACTGTCTTTGGGCAGCGTGAGCCGGGGGCATCATCCTGTTGACTCCTGGTTCAGGATGGGAAGTTCTGAAACCGATTACTCCAAACTCTCTAGAAACCAGTCCCTTTCTGGGTCTGGTGCATTCTCTGAAGGACATGTGCAAAATACAGTCGAGTGCTCAGAGAGTGATGAAGAAGATGCTGCCTCCCCTATTGAGGAGGCAGAGACCAGCCACCACACCAACTTGTTCACATCTGCACTATCTCGAACCTCCCTCAAAGGGAGTCGCAGCAAAAAAGGTGGAACATCAGAGAGCCCTAGTCTTTCACTGTTGGATCGGACGGTGAGAAGGGATCGTTCCACATCTGCAGAAAGAAGAGAGATGGGTAAGTGAGAAATCTTACAAACTAATGCTGATATTGTGAAGGTTACTGGACATGCAATACGTATGTGCTATGGTTATAGTTTACATTGCAACCATGCTCAGTTCAATAATGTCCTTACATTTTTTTTTTTTTTTACATATTGAATGCAAATCTGGGCTTGAGCTTTCTGAGGTGACCCAAATTTAGTTTGACATTGTGAAGGTTGCAGAATTAATGCAGTGAAATGTAGTCACTCTCCAAATAGTTTTACCTCAGCGTCCTCCATAATTCTGTGCTAAAAGTTTATTGGATGTCACTTGCTTCAGTGCATGCCACAAATTTATGATTCTTTTCCAGTAATTCCTGTCAGTGTTCCGAATTGATTTCAGAGCCAGGCCATCAAATCAAAAACATTTTAGCATTTTGTTTAAAGTGATTGATATGAGACTGGTTGAAGTTGCAGCTTGTCGTTAAAGGTCCTACAGTATACTACCTAGTCTATTTATAGCTAGTTCCAGCATAATTTCTTCTGCACTCCCAACAGCTGTGGGATTCCAAATAGGCTAAATTTCTTCACACTCACACCTGCTCAAATGTTACAGTGCTGAACCAGGTGAAACGGAGCAGTTTTCATAATAGAGCAGGCTCTCAGTCATGCTGGGATGGGTGGACGGTGTGTTTGTGTATGTGCTTATGCATAGAAGGTCCCTAGTGAGACTGCAAAGTGTAGTGTGTAATCCAGGATTAGAGCTCAGGACATGAGGTCATCCAACGGTCATTGACTGCACCATTAATTCACTATAGCAGCAAGAGCAAGAAACTGATGAGAGAGTAAAAGAGGAGGATTAAGTGCTGGAGGAAAATGGGGCTGATAAAAACAAGAATAAGACTAAGGTTGTGAATATAGATGTGATTGGAAGGAAGTGTTAGTTGATGAATTGGTGCACATATGTAGTGGTGCTTGATAAGGCAGTCATTATTATGTGATTTCAGCAAAGCACTAACCATAAGTAGTAAAGAGGTCATATGATGTTGCTAAAAAGAACATTATTTTGTGTATTTGGTGTAATGAAATGTGTTTATGCGGTTTAAGGTTAAAAAAACACATTATTTTCCACATAATGTACATTATTGTTTCTCCTCTATGCTCCGCCTTTCTGAAACGCGTCGATTTTTACAAAGCTCATTGGTCTGAAAAGCGAGGTGTGCTCTGATTGGTCAGCTATCCAGTGCGTAGTGATTGGCCGAATACCTCAAGCGTGAGACGGATATGTTACGCCCCTTACCATATTGGGATGCCGTGTCCTGGAGCGACGAGACAAAAACATTAAAACCCATTATAAAAGAGGCATTTGTTGCATCCAGTGGGGACATAATTACGGATTATAATGACTTGTACTGTCTTTTTACGCATTGCGTTGCATCGCGTAAACATAAAACCATGTCTGCATTTGTGATCGGAGAAATGACAAACAACAAGCGCTACTCTACACTGCTCAAAACTCGTGTTTGAATCATCAGTAGCAAATTCTTTAAATAAGAAAACGTACTTACAGACTGTGAGTCAGAACAGCCGCAGGGTTCCCACGCTTCTTGAAAGTACTTGAATTTCAGACATATGGATTCAAGGCCTGGAAAGAACTTGAAAACAAACATAGGTCCTTGAAAGTGCATGAGTTAAATTTGAAATAAATTTTGTTTATGCAGGGATTAAAGTTTTCCGTCGCTACGACGGCTTTCCGCCAATTGGGGGAAAAAAATGAGGGGAAAAGAAACATGTAGCGCATTGTTGTTGTTGTTATTGTTGTTCTGCCGGCACACCAAAAATCATTCCCGGCCATGGCTGCAACTTTTCAGTGACAACATAGGGATGCTTCGCATCAGTCACAGTCGGGTTATTAGCAGAGAATATTTCGGCGCGGGGTTCCACGCTTATAACGCGATGACAGATGACGGAACGTATCATTTGCACGTGCTTCTTGAGAACTCACTCGCGCACTCATTTTCTGTGCGCCCACAGATCGCTACAAGGAGAGTGACCGCTTTTAATAATTATTAAGGGAGTTTGCCAATGTGATATTGATTCAATACAACAGTTCAGTAAACAAGTCCTGCCTGATTTTGCTCTATTTCTTTAACGAAAAGGGTTCCAAATATAGAAACCGCTCAGCCACTTCGCATCTCTAAAAGCAAACACAGCTGAGTTTCATTCATTCAATGAAAGTGCATTTTTGAGCGAATCTAGTGAGTCAGTGATTCATGATTGCATAAAGACAGTCACTTGCTTCATTCCTGAATGAATCAGCCGTTCGAACGAATCAATTGAATGAATGATTCAGTGATAAAATCAGTGACTTGTCGCCACCTGCTGGCGGATTTAGTTTCATTTTTAGCGTATAATTTTATTTAATATTTCTGTATTCAAAATTTTATGTTAAAAAAAAATCTCCACATAAATGTATGAATTTAATTGCACTCATGCCACCTCTGAGCCTCATTAAACGTCTGAAAATGTACCTACAAGGCATTTTTGTGTTCTTCTGTGCCACCTCTGTACAAATTAATTTATTAATACTAATTTCATATGATTGGTAACCTATTTGTCTTATTCTACTTCTTATTATACTGTTTTAAATAGAAATTTTAAAAAGCTTATAAACATAAATTTTTGAATTTGACATTGCTGAAAAAGATGCCATTACAAAGGTAAAAAGAAAATACCCCTGTAAGTCACTTTGACTCAAATGTCACCTTGTATTAGGTGTAAATAATTTTTTATTTTTTATTATTTTAAATTAGGAGGACAAGCGCATTAAAAGGCTTTTAAACTGTGTGTATGACAGGTATGGCTGTGGAATGTGGTTTGGCTGAGGAAAAATTCAGTCAAAAAAAATTTTTTTTTGCTTTAGCTCCTGTTTATGACGCTATTTCAAAAATTGTCCTATATGTTCTGAACGAAGACAGAACAAAACGGCACTAATGATTGGGGGTGGAGATGGGGTAGCGCGAAAAAAAACTTAGCGTGTGTGTTGTTCATGCGCAGCCTAGAGCCTTGGGGACAATTTTCTTAAGCCCACTCCCGCTGAATTTCTGACCATTACCGCCCACTCCCGCAACGTGTGTGTCCCGCTCCCGCAAACATTCTAATATTGTATATTATTTTCGCACATCAGTGAGCCGCTATTAATATGCGGGGTATTTAAATCGCATTTAAATAAGTGCTCGCTGTTCACTTTCGATTTCGCGATCATGCGCACGCTGTGTAAAGGGAGCACGTCTTACAGTGTGTGCATAATTATTAGGCACGTTGATATTCTGATCATATTTTTTTCCAAGCACATTTGACCAATTCCAAACCACATCAATCTTAATTTCTATTATTTGATGACGACTATTTTTATAGGCTTTATGGACAGACAAGTTGAGAGTGACTCTTGAAGGACCAGCAGCATATCCTCTTGTACCACTGTTAGAAGAATTTATCTTCCAGAATCTGGCAGTAAGTTTTAGGAGCAACATTAGTGCAACATGGAGCTAAGGAGAAAATGAACTTGAAAAGTTGGAAAAACAGCTTAGTGAAAAGCGTTTACAGTTTAAAAGCAAATAGAAAGTCCTATTTTTTATTTATTTTTTTATTTTTTTGCTGATTTGCACATGTACAAGGTTTAAAATGCTCATGAAATATTACAAGAACTACAGCAAAAATCAGTTTGATGCATATTTTATCAATATTTTAGAAATGGAATTTTATTTATCACCAGTACTGACTTCAATGGATTTTATTAAAGTCCTTTTAACACAACTGCTCAAAACGGTCTAAATTTATGAAACCTACAATTCAAAACGTTATTACTCTGAAATTTTTAATGTAAATGTTAAGTGTAAGTGAAATGTTAAGTACTGTAAGGTCTTTCATGACACTACATATTCTGGTGTGTGAATTTGATAGATGCTTGATATAAAATAAATGGTGCTTTAAAAAGTCCTTGAAAGTCCTTGAATCTGGTGTTCATGAAAGAGTGGGTACCCTTCAGCCGGCATTGAAGTCTAATCTCCCAGGATCAGGAAACAGTCCTCCATAAAATGTGCTGCACACATCTGAATATTTGGGTTGAACTGTTCTGGAACAGTGTTGTAAATACAACTTAACCACTGATTTCTAGTCGTGTCCTCTTTTGGAAGGCCAAACAAAGTATTTTTGCTTTCGCAACGAAACACACAGCGTCTTCACAACATGGCGGCGGCGGCGGCAGCAACAATAAAGTTACGCCTTCTTTCTTTGCGTGAACATTTGGGCGGCGTTATGCAAATCTTCCCACATCGTGATGTAGACATGTGTTTGAATGAGGTGTTTTAGGGGGGCGTGGACCAGTCTTAACTTTTATAAAGAATATCTCTTTGGGTTTGAAACTTTAGTCTTTGCAAATTTAGGGATCTTATCTATTCACAAACAGCTTGTAACACTCCAAAGTGAAAAGAAAACTTGAAATCGCATCATATGACCCCTTTAAACCCTGACTTGTAACATGTCTTGCATGGAGAAATTGTGGGAAAAAATACAATGAAATAGAAGATATGGAAGGATGGGTTTGACTGATGGAAATATAAGATAAAGAGAACATAGTAGACTAGACTGTGTTGAAAAGTGAGTTAGACTGAGAGTAAGTTAATTAAAGGGATAATGGAGGATAGAGGGAACACATTTAATGAGGCCCTGCACACATGAACACATGTAGCTGCTTTTTTGCTGAGTCTGTGAGGCAGTTATTTTCAGCTACATCAGAATTTGGCTATTAGGAGATGAGTATCTTTTCTACACAATCTATAAACCAATTTATCTCCTCAACTCCCCATTCTGTTATTTACCTAATAATAAATGTGCCGTATAAAAAGATGATCTAACCAAGAATTTGAGAGTTTAGCTTAGTCAGTGGCAGGCTGTCAGTAATACATGCTGCTAACAGGTCTTTGGTATGCACCGGCTTTTATTTATTTGTTTTTGTTTTATTTGCTTTTTATTTGTTTTTTAAGGTTTTGCATTGTGTTACACACATTATACATGTGGGACGTTGGGCAATGGGGAGACTTCTGTTAATTGTTGTTCTAATTTGTTTAATTTTTCAGCTACTCAACCCACCTTTTGTTTTAATATCACAGGAAATGTGTCTGGCACACAGAACCGAGTTGGCCAATCTATTGTTCCTGAGGTTTCTGAGGGTCCCCATCATCGGCACCACCACCACCCTCCCCTATCCCTCTCACACTCTTCCTCTTGCCTTTCTCACTGCACTCTCGACCAGCCTGGAAGCGTCACAGCTCTCCGGCCCTCTAGCCGCCAGGCTAGTCCCTCCACGTGCTCCTCCCAGCCTGCATGCTGTCGTAACTCCCCCCCTTCGCATCACTCCCATCGGCCCCCTCCCAAAAACAACCTGCACCATGTCAACAAGATCCTTCGTGCAAAGAAGCTCCAGAGGCAAGCACGCACAGGAAACAACATGGTGAAAAAACGAGGTCCAGGCCGTCCCCGCAAGCACCCGCTGCCCTCGCCTCCCCCGTCGCCCCCACCACAGACATCTGAACAAGAGAACCACCCTTTACCTGAAAGGCACAGAGGAAGTGTGCTTTGGGAGGGAGACACCGTGGTTGATGTCATTGAGTCTGTAATACAGAGTCAGCGCAGAAAGGGACGCAAAAGAAAACGCTGGGAAAGGGAGACAGAAGGAGGTGACGAGGAAGAAGAGGAACCGGCAGAGGAAAGAGAGGGGGAGGAAGAAGAAGAAGGACCAGCTGCTAGAGAGGAAGATGTGATGGCAAGAGCTAGAACAGAAGGAGGGAGGGGATGGTTGACACAGGAGGAAATGCATTGTTTTCGCAGGTATGCGGTACAAAATATGCAACTGTTCAAAATGTAGATTTTTTTTGGGGGGGAAGAAATTAATACTTTTATTCAGCAAGGATGCATTAAATTGATCAAAAGTGACAGTAAAGACATTTGTTATAAAAAGATTTCAAATAAATTCTGTTCTTTTGAACTTTCTATTCATCAAAGAATCTTAAAAAATGTATCACGGTTTCCACAAAAAAGATTAAGTTGTACAACTGTTTTCAATATTGATAAGTAATTTAGAACCATTTCACCATATTAGAATGGTTTCTGAAGTATCATGTGACACTGAAGACTAGAGTAATGGATTTGAATTAACACGGATCAGCATGCAAGCATGAAATAAATATTATCTCCAAAACCTGTTTAAAATCAACATGAAATCAAAATCAACCTATTTTCTTCCCTTAAAACATCTCTGTCTCCATATCCTGGACAAAAAAGCTTCTGTAAAATCAAATAAATTTTCTCTGAAATTTCCTTTTTACATTCCTCCACAATAAACTTTTTAGAACCTTTAATGTTGCTGTAATGATCAAATCAATTTAATGCTGACTTAAACACCACAAAAGTCTTAGGCCCAGTTTCACAGACAGGGCTTCGACTAAACCAGGATTAGGCCACAGTTCAATTAGGACATTTGAGTACATTTTTTTTTTAACATACCTTTGAAAAAACATTACTGGTGTGCAACAAAACACTGATATATTTTAAGATCAGTCAGTGCAAATTTCTTTCAGTTGAAACAGCTCAGAATTGCATTTTAGTCTGGGACTAGGTTTAAGCCTTGTCTGTGAAACCGGGGGTTAATCTCATAATAAATTACTGGTTTTCTTTGCAGTGCTCTGGAGGGAAAACCTGATGGCCAATCCTCCCCAGAGCGCACAGGCCCTACTTCCGTGGAACAAGCCCCAAACCCATCAGTGACCAGTCAGCGGGAGAAGAGAGTTGCTAGACCACCCAAAAAGAAGTTTCAAAAGGCTGGGCTTTACTCTGATGTGTACAAGACTGACGAGTAAGGATGAACATTAGAGTCTTATTATCTAACATTCATATACCAGGAAAATAAACTTAACCTGTCTCCATTTCCCCATCAGTCCTCGCAGTCAGCTGCTACAACTAAAGAAGGAGAAGTTGGAATACACTCCAGGTGAACATGAGTATGGACTTTTTCCTGCCCCCATTCATGTTGGTGAGTTTTTCATTTAAGCTTAGCTTGCAGTTGTGTTCTAAAAATCTGCAGATTTTGACATGCATCACTTAATTTTTCTCTATATCTAATTGCAGTTTGATTTAGGATTCATTTTTCAACTTAAATGTTTTTAAGAACTATTATTTCAACGAGTAAGCTTGTGGATTTGCCGGTATACAGCTTTCATTGTCATTTCTAACCAGTTCATTATGTATGGCCCCATGGGCAATCAGGCTGATTAGTTATGGTTTATGAGTTATGAGGTGATTAGTTGATTCAATATTGGAATGGCGCAGCCTCAAGTGAAAGGACAAAGAGATTGAATTAGTAACTGCTATTTGTCTTCTGTGTTTGTCCAGGGAAATACTTGAGACAGAAACGCATTGATTTCCAGCTGCCTTATGACATCCTGTGGCTTTGGAAACATGATCAGGTAGCTCCTTAAAACCACATCTTTCTTGACAGCTGCATTTGTCATTTATGTTTTTTTGCTTCAAAATCATCCAATAAACATGATTTAAACAAGATACATTTATTTGTAGGATAATAATATTATTATTTTTATTATTAAGTTTATTATTAAGTTTTCAAATAAGTTAATTTTTCTTCCCTCCATTGGCAAATGCTTTTCCCCTTGGTATAAGCATATACCAGGAAAATAAACTTAACCTGTCTCCATTTCCCCATCAGTCCTCGCAGTCAGCTGCTACAACTAAAGAAGGAGAAGTTGGAATACACTCCAGGTGAACATGAGTATGGACTTTTTCCTGCCCCCATTCATGTTGGTGAGTTTTTCATTTAAGCTTAGCTTGCAGTTGTGTTCTAAAAATCTGCAGATTTTGACATGCATCACTTAATTTTTCTCTATATCTAATTGCAGTTTGATTTAGGATTCATTTTTCAACTTAACTGTTTTTAAGAACTATTATTTCAACGAGTAAGCTTGTGGATTTGCCGGTATACAGCTTTCATTGTCATTTCTAACCAGTTCATTATGTATGGCCCCATGGGCAATCAGGCTGATTAGTTATGGTTTATGAGTTATGAGGTGATTAGTTGATTCAATATTGGAATGGCGCAGCCTCAAGTGAAAGGACAAAGAGATTGAATTAGTAACTGCTATTTGTCTTCTGTGTTTGTCCAGGGAAATACTTGAGACAGAAACGCATTGATTTCCAGCTGCCTTATGACATCCTGTGGCTTTGGAAACATGATCAGGTAGCTCCTTAAAACCACATCTTTCTTGACAGCTGCATTTGTCATTTATGTTTTTTTGCTTCAAAATCATCCAATAAACATGATTTAAACAAGATACATTTATTTGTAGGATAATAATATTATTATTTTTATTATTAAGTTTATTATTAAGTTTTCAAATAAGTTAATTTTTCTTCCCTCCATTGGCAAATGCTTTTCCCCTTGGTATAAGCATAAATCTAACCAAATGTAATAAGGTTTATGCTCCTTTATGAAACATATTTTGCCAAAGGGGTAATATAAATAAACTTAGTTTAGGATATATTTTCTGAAAACAAGTTTCAATATCTATAATGATTTTAAGTAGTTTAATCCATATACTCAAGGATACATCTTTGTTCTTTGTAGCTCTACAAGAGACCTGATGTGCCTCTCTACAAGAAGATCAGATCCAGTAAGCAGATTTTCATTAGTTTTTGTCACTACCCATAAGCTCAACAACACTGTAGAGCAGAACATGCTTGAGTTTCCATAAATATACTGATTTGGCAGGACTGGGAGTTGTAGATTCCTTCCTGACTATCCTGCTCTCATTTTTGTACACTTTGTGTTTTCCATGCGTAGGTTTGCAAATGTTTGAAACTAATGCATTGATATTTTCCCTCTTAGATGTTTATGTGGATGTGAAGCCTCTTTCTGGCTACGAAGCCACTACCTGTAACTGCAGGCTGCCTGAAGAGCACAGTGAGAAGGGCTGTCAGGATGACTGTCTAAACAGGTAAGAGGCTTACTACTTCTCCTCTGCTTACCCATTAGTGCAGCTGTGGATCCCATGGTTTTCTTATATCTGTCTGCCTTAGGATGATCTTTGCTGAGTGTTCTCCAAGTACATGTCCTTGTGATGATCAATGTGATAACCAGCGTATCCAGAGGCATGAGTGGGTGCAGTGCCTCGAGCGCTTCCGGGCTGAAGGGAAGGGCTGGGGGATTCGAACCAAGCAGCCCCTACGTTCCGGCCAATTCATCATCGAGTACTTGGGAGAGGTGGTCAGCGAACAGGAATTCAGGTTAGCCACATTTTGCCTTTAAACAAGAGGAGACACATACTTCAATTAGTTTTAATATGCAACAATTTTGTTAAAGGGATAGTTCACCCAAAAATGGAAATTTGATGTTTATCTGCTTACCCCCATGTCATCCAAGATGTAGGTGACTTTGTTTCTTCAGTAGAACACAAACGAAGATTTTTAACCAAAAATTGTTGCAGTCTGTCAGTCATATAATGTAAGTGAATGGCAATCACGGCTTTGAGAGTTAAAAAAACATACACAAACAAAACCAAATTAAACCCTGCGGCTCGTGACGATACATTGATGTGTAAAGACACGAAACGATCGCTCTGTGCAAGAAACTGAACAGTATTTATATAGTTTTGTTACCTCTGATTCACGCAATGTCCGAACTGTCATGAGCGTAGTCTTCTTCAGCTGGCGTGTGACGCGTCTTCTTCTTCTT